TGGTGTTTGGAGGACAGTGGCTCCCATCCCAAATGCCCACCCTCAACCCCTGGAACCCCAGAGCAACAAAAAACACAAGACAGGCACAAGGACGGGCCCTCCACCCACCACAGGCTGAACGGCAGCGAGTCCCAGACACAGCACCGCCTGTCCAGGGAGGAGAAAGCCCGGGTCCCATGGAGCTGTGAGGGAAGGCTGGGCCTGAGCAGGCCACCTCCCCGCCCTTGCCGAGGCTCCGTCCCCTACGGTAACTGGGAGCTCCGGGCCCCACAGCCCCCCGAGCAGAGTCCTTCCAGCAGAATCAGCAGTGCCCTGCCTGCCAGCCAGGGAGCCCCGCCCCCTCACCTCCCAGGCTGCCACCGAAGCCAGTGACACCTGGGCTCAGCTGGGAATGTTGCTGATGCCAGGCACCCCACATTCCCCAAAGCGGGCGCCACTGTCAGACACAGAGGTGGCCACAGCAGCAGTGGAAGCCGGGCCAGGCTCTAAGCAGCCAGGGAAGGCGGCAGCCCCAGCCCAGGGTCCGGGGGCTCTGAACGCAGGTGGCAAGCCTCCATCGTTGGACCACTCGGCCCAGCTCCCACCCTCCCAGGACCATGGCCTATTTGCAGGCAACAGACCCAGAACCCCCAAATCACAGTGTCATCAGGGCTGGGGGCTGTGGAGACAGAGGTGCCTCCACCTGCCCAGGGGGCTAAGAGGGCTTCCTCGGACAAGTGACAGAAGAGGAACGAAGAGCTGGCAGGAGTCACCTCCAGTCAAAGCAGAGAGGCAGCAGGAGAAGCAGAGGCCCAGGAGCAGCCTCCAAGGAGAAACAGGACCCACCGGGCCACGGAGAACGGCAGGAGGGCTCCCGGCCTCCGACCCATGACCGATGACTCCCTGCACACAGGGGCCGCCTCGGAGCTTCGCAGGGAGGAGAGCCAGAGCCTGGCGGCTGCGCAGCATCCCTTGCTGTTGAGCTGCACGGCACCAGCAGGCAGCACCGCAGTGGTTCTGGAGCTCTCAGGGGCCCCCCGCCTGGATGAGCAAGAGACGCACAGGAGCTAAATGAGAATTGATCACTTTCCCCGTCAGGGGTGATAATCAATTCCTTGCCAGTATTGACGCTTCAAATGTCATGGGGTCAACACCTCACATGACGTGTCTATCAGCAGCTGGACTGGACGCCCAAGCAGGGACCCGCTCCTTGAAGCAGCGAACTATCTTTTGTGGGGGAGGGGGATCGTCATCCTCCATGGGAACTGTCACTCTGAGGGGCAGAGAGCCGGCACCCAGCCCCAGCAGTCCCTGGGGTGACCACCAGCAAGTGTGGTGTGGGAGGAAAACCCTGGTCAGTCATTCACCTCCAGATGACCGGGACCCCATGACTGACCTGGCAGAGCTCCGTTTGTGGGGAACCAGGACAGGGGTTGGGAGAGGGAAGGGGCCTGGGAGAACGTGGGGAGCTGTTGGAGGTGGTGGGTAAGCATGGGGAGGGCAGGGGGCCTCAGATGTGGAAAAAGAGGGAGGCCCCAGCTTTGCCTGCTGAATGGGAGGCACCAGGCTGCTGCCTCCCACAGGGACATCTCAGAGTTGGGGGTCTCTGAGAAGGGGCCCTGGAGTCCAGAGCAGGGACACTGCAGGGCTTCCAGCCCAGGTAGGCCAGGGGCTCTGGGGAGGAGGACAGCGTCTGTGGCAGGGTTGAACAGAGAAGCCCAGTAGAGAAACGGCCCTGGAGCCCACGGAAGGCCAGGCCACAGGCACCACTGCAGGACATGGGGGTCATGAAGCAATCAGCCCGGAGACGAGGCCTGAGGACCCCAGTGAGAGCAGGACACACAGTGTGGGGTGTACGGAGGAGCAGGGGCCATGCCACACTCATCACAGGGCTTTCCCTCCACACCCAGGGCCAAACACCCTTCTCAAATCGGGTAAGACATCCTCTGGGGCTCCAACCTGGGCAGGAAGGGAACATGCCCCCCCACACCCAGCCGGGCACCAAGGCTCAGAAAGTGGGGGAAGGGCACAGTCTTATCCATGCCATGCAGATGAGGTCCCCAGATGGGGTAACCATGGTCACCCTCACTGTCCAGACAAGGGAACTGAGGCAGGCTCAGGCAGATGAGAGCACACGGCAGCCAGGGACAGGCAGGCCTGGAACCTGGGCAACCCGCCGGCCAGCTGGGCTCCAGTAACCCCAGGCACAGTGACTTGAGGTCCCGAACTCAGCAAACAGCAGCAGCTGCCACCAAGGTGAGAGTGCACCCCTTCCGGGCACTACTACGCACCTGTGCGACGGCCACAAAGACAGTCACATGTCACAGAGCAGGAAACAGTGGCCAAGAGCTCTCAGGAACCTGCTCAAGGGAACTGCGTCCTGTCAGGAGGGTGCTCGAGGGCCCGGCGGGGTGTGAGTGCAGGCGGGACTGCGTGTCTTCATAGGCTGGCGAAAGAGCAGCACGTTCCGCTGGGCACGGTGGCTCACACTTGTAATCCCAGCACTTTGGGAAGCTGAGGCAGGCAGATGCGGATCACGAGGTCAAAAGTTTGAGACCAGCCTGGTCAACATAGTGAAACCCCATCTCTACTAAAACACAAAAAATTAGCTGGGCATGGTGGTGAGTGCCTGTAATCCCAGCTACTTGGGAGGCTGAGGCAGAAGAATTGCTTGAACCTGGGAGGCAGAGGTTGCAGTGAGCCAGGATCATGCCAATGCACTCCAGCCTGGGCAACAGAGCGAGACTCTATTTCAAAAAAAAAAAAAAAAGCAATGCGTTCAAGGGGACCCCGACAGGCTGGCCCCGTCTACAACTGAGACAGGCAGGGAGCCCAGAGGCGAGTGCCTTTAGCCGCCAGGCCGGGTCCCAGCAAGCCTCCCCGCTTCTCTGAGCCTCTGAAGATCCAAGCATGAGACAGATGTTAGTGAAATTCTCTGTAAACTGTAAACTAGCCTCAGGGAAGCTCATCCCTCCCCTAAAAATACCAAATGGAGCCCTGGGGAAAATCCTAGAACACCAACTCTAAATCCCCACTCCCACGTCGGCCTTAGAGAGCAGAGGCCAGGGCCCCCGGACAGCGCACCGGACTCTGGAGAGCACACTGGGGTCCCCCTGGCTGCCCCACAGGGATTTCCCTCCTAACACAGAAGCAGCTATGTCTATACATCTGGGCCCAGCAGGCCAGGCCAGGGCCGCAGGCTGCAATTCTGCTGGGAAGCTGAGGACAGCCCAGGCCTGCACAGGGAACAGGACAGTGACACCCGTGAGGCCCCAGGGTCGCAGGCACAGCACCCCCCCACACCCCCCATACCCTGTGGCGAGACAGTGGAGGATGGGGCCTTCTCTCCTAGGGGCATAGCACCCTGCAGGTGGGACAGCACTTCAGAACAGACCCCCAGGTGACAGAGGAGAGGACAAAGCAGAAGCAGGGGGCCCAGAGCGGAACACAGCCCTAGCTGAGCCCAGCCCGGGACCCTGGTGTGCTACGTGCCAGCGCCAGTCAGGGAAGGGGGAGCCCCCAGCTAGCACTGAAGAGGAGTTTCCAGTGTCAAAGCTCAGGGGAGGCTGCAGATGGGTGGTCTGGGACTCCCTTGATGACCTGTGTGCCAAAGAGACCACCAAGACACCCCCAGATGAGGAACCTCAAATCTGCCGAGGACTAGTATGGCCTGCAGCCCTCTCCACTAGGACCCCTGGCCTGCCCACGACTGGGAGCCCCCTCCCCTCCACAGGTGCGCACCAGGACCACGGCCCCAGGGCCAGGCAGCGTCAGCAAGCCAAGCCCACTCCAGGAGTGGGGAGACGAGCTCAGTCACTAATGCCCCTTCTGTCTCTGGCCTGTTTCCCTAACCGGGCAGCAAGATGGGCCTTTAGCTCTGGCTGACCCTCTCCAGGGGGCCCTCAAGGGTCTCCTGCTGCCTTCTAAAGTAGATACAGGCCACTGGGGCAGAGAGTGTGGCCAAGGCTGCCCGGAGCAGCGACAGGGCAGGTCCAGCCCCACCCCAGGACAGGCCCACAGGCCCCTGGCCCAGCCAGAGAGAGGCTGCAGCACCAGTCCCATCCCTCACCAAGACTCCTGAGGGCCCAGAAAGGGTGCCCAGGACAAAAAGCACACTGGTACCCTGCCACACCCCGCCCTGCCCCAGACAGGAAGTCAGGGTCTCAGCCCCCCAGGCCCTCGGTGGAGAGCTATATTTAGATTCAATGGGGATTATGCGGCCTTCCCAGGAACTCTTTCATGAAGGCTGAAGGTCGGGCAGCGGCTTCCTCTGCAGACCCCACCGGCCCCCAGCCTTTGCGAACTTCCAGCGTGCATTGTTTCTGGAACAATGGTCCCTGCTCCCTGGAAGCCAGGCAGGCCTACTGGCTGGAAATCCAGGAGAACCCCTCCTCTGCAAGCACCCGCCCCTGAGGCTGGAGCCAGGGGAACCCGGAGGCCCAGACTCCATTCCCCACGGGAGCCTCTGCCTCAGTCTGTGGAAGGAGGTGTGGGACAACAGCTCTTATCCTGGAGCCTGGGAGGGGAGCAGGCAGGGACCCCAGCTGCTGGGGGTGGCCCACCCTTTCACCCGCCAGGCCCTGCGGCCCAGGGGTGTAATTTCCAGACACCTGGCTGGCAGCCCAGGTGCCCCAAGGGCCACAGTGCACCAGCTAACCTCTCCCTGCTGGCAGAACAGGAGCTGTCCCGCCCTGGGTGGAGTCCCCGCCATCCGCTCACTCCCCTCCCCCTCCCACACAAACCTGCATTCCAGCTGTGGGACATCTGGGCTGAGGGAGGAGCGTCAGCCTAGGCCCCTCCCATCCGAGGCAGCAGGCCCCCTCGGGATGAGCCGCCCGAGCTCACAGAAGGTGTTACAGACCGGGAAATGGAGGCCCGCAGAGGGGAAGGCCTGGCTGAAAACTCTCCGTGGAGCCCGCAGCAGAGAAGGAGTGGAACGCTGCTTCCCTCCAAGCCCCAAGGTCTACCCAAGTTCAGCCTGGCCTTGCCCAGAGGGGTCGGCCTAAGGAAGTGTCACTTACCCGGAGGGTGGTCCCGGGCCCGCTGACCAGCTTCCACGCCTGTCGCTTGAGCTCCACGAGCTTCGTGTGGCAGTGGCGGCACCAGCCGCCTCCGCCGGCCGAGTGGTCCTGCTCTGCGCTGGCCCCGGCGCCCTCGGGCGCAGGGCGGCTGCCGAATTGGTCCTGGTCGGGCCCGGGGGGCAGCCTCTTGCGGGGTGATACCTCTGGCGGCGCACGGGCCGGGCCGTCCTCGGCCACCTGCAGGGTGTGGGGGCGGAAGCGGACAATGAGCCTGGGACGTCCCGCGGTCCAGCCCCCAGCGCGCACTGCCCCAGAGCAACGCTCTCGCCAAAGTTAGGAGCGCTGGGCGCGACCCTGGCGCTCACCCCCTCCCTCCATCCCCGGAGGTCCCGGCTGCCAGTCCGCTACCCGCAGCAGGAGGCTGCCCCCGTGACGCCGCGCACCCCGCGAGTATCTTTGCCGTCCCCCGACCCGCCTCCCTCTCCAGGCCAGGCCACGCGTACCGCGGGCTGCGCCGCGCACAGAGGGACGCCGCGGCCGACCATGGCCGGGCCGCGGGAAGAGCCCGGCGGGCGCTCCAGGCCGCGCTGGCTCTCCGGGGGCGCCGGGGCTAAGTGATCCGGCCCCGAGGCGCCCCCATGGCCCCGCCCAGCCGCTCGGAAGTTCACGGAGCCTGCGAGTGGCGCGGAGCGCTCGGTGGCCGCGGTGGGCGAGCTCGGGAGGCGAGGGCGGGGCCGGGGCGGGGCCGGGGCTCCCTGGGCGGGCGGCTGGAGGCGGGAGCCCAGGGAGTGCCCCGCCCTTGCCCAGTGCTGGGTGGCGCGTAGGGGGTGGGGTCTCCGCTTCCCCGCACCGCCCCTCGTACTCCGAGGACTCCAACCTGTTAGGTGAGTCCCTTCCCCGGGGAGGGGCGCTGGGGGCGGGAGGCTCTAGTTGCGCGCGCGCATGCGCCTCCCGTCCCTCTCCCGGGACCCCGGGGCTGCGCGTCTCCCAGGAGGAGCCGACGCCCCTCCCTCAACCGGCGGGAAAACCGAGGCTGCGGAGGGGACGCGCTTGCCCAAGTCCCACTGCGAGGTGGGACGAGGAAGGGGTGGGACCCGGGTCCCCAGACTCCCAGGCGCCTTTCCAGCAAGCCCAGCGTACTCTGCGTGTCGTGGGCCACTTTGGGTCTAAGTGTCATGCGTGGGTGAGTGTCGCCGCCGTGTGCGCCTCGGCGAGTCTGCGAACGGCACGTGTCTGCAGCCGCGCGTGTGCCCGCAAGTGGGTGAGCCCGGCAAGCGGGAGGCCCTGCGGGCGTGCGCGGGACCTGTTGTCAGCAGGCCTGGCAGATGGGAACTCAGCTCCGGAATTAATTGCCTGTTTGTCTCCGGCTGGGAGGTCGCCCCCCTTCCCTGGCGACCAGTTGCTCCGGCCCTAGCGGGCCCCCAATGTTGCCGGCATCTGCGGCCGCAGGCGGCTCCGGGGCCAGGCTCCGGGTCAGCCCCAAAGCCTGGGTCCAGCCGGGCGGGCGCGGCGGGCGGGCTCCCCGTGACGCGAGCGCCACCTGCCGGCCGCCGAGCACACGGCGCCGAGACCGGAGACCCGGCGCCGCGCGTCCCAGGCCCCGAGGCGCACTCGGAAACTCCGAAGGTTGAGATCCCGGCGGAGACCGGGACACGCGACTACGGCGCCTACCGTGAGGCCTTCGCGGAGACTCAAGACGCCAAAGTGACCCTTTCCGCTTTGTCCACCCCCTTTTACTAGGATAAGCCTCCCCGCCCACGCACGCACTCCGCAGAAAGTGGGGTGGTTGTGACCCCCTGCCGGCTTTCCGGGTCGTTGATGACCTTAGGGCTTCGAAAACGCAAGGGGCTGTGGAATAAAGTGGCAGAGGCTCTCCACTCTCCGCGGTCCGAAAGCCTGCAGCCCCTTTCCACCCTGCCTGGGGGCCCGGAAGCGCTTCCCCTACCCATCTCATCGCAGCCTGGAGAAAGAAAACGGGCGTCAGCCCACATCCGTATCTGGGTACCCAGGACAACACCCCCATCCCACCCCGCACTGCCGGCAGACAGCCCCGCGCCCCGCCGCTCCACCGCTCCGGGACAGACGCCCTCTCTATCCCGTCCCCCCACCCACACGTGCGACCCAGAGCTCGCAGCGATCGGGAGCCCGGGTCCTGCACCCATGGCCAGCCACGCCCGCAACTTCAGCGCTTCGGGAAGCACAAGCTCACATCCCATATCTGCAGAACACGGGGTGCACGATGGGGCTGGAGTCACCTCGCGGGCTCAGCAACAGTCAGGAGCCCCTAACCCCCTACCTCGCCCATCCTAGCAAGGCGCAGGGTGAGCCCCGGAGTCCCGGCGCTGCGCTCTCCACCCTGGCCACAGCCTCCGGGTGGGTCTGGTCGGGACACATCGTCTAAGAGAGGGGGAGACGCGGACAACGCTACTGGGGGAAAGTGCGGCAGCGAGTCCCAGCCTGAGCTGCGGGAGGCGGCTCCGGACCTGCCCTGTCCTTCCCGGCGCCGCCTCCGCCGCCCGCCCTCACCTTGCCTCGCCGCCGCAGGAGGTGGCTGGTGAAGCCCAGGATGATCTCCGAGTCCAGGCAGAGCGCCCCCATCTCCAGCAGGCTGGGAGCCTTGCGGGGCGCGCCGCGGGGCGGCTCGGGCGGCCCGGGCAGCGCCATAGAGGAGCGGAGCGGCCCCGAGCGCCTCCCGCCACCGCCCCGCCCGCGCGCTCACTGGCCGCGCGCCTCCCGCCGCCGCCGCCGCGCCCCGCACCGCGCAGGGCCGCCCGCCAGACCCCCGGTCCTCCGCGGCCCGCGCCCCCGAGCCTTGTGCTCGCTCCGCGCCGCGCGCCCCCGCGCTCCGGCCCCGCCCGCCCGCGCCGACAGCGCCCCCTCCGCCCGGGCGGCGAGCCAGACACCAGCCACGCGGACTGCAGGTGGGGGCGACCATGGAGGCCAGAATCTGGTCGCGGTCCGCACCCACCTGCCTCGCACGCCCCCCAGACGTCGGCGCCTCCTGCCACGTGCCCCGCGGGAGCGGGGGGACATCGCGGCTGCTGTAAAACCCTGCCGACTGGGGCGTCATCGCAGCCCCTTCCCTCTCCAGTCTGTCCTGAGGACTCCTCGCGTTGCGGTCCTGGCCCTTGGAAACGCTCAGAGCCCAGTGACCTGTGCACCCCACCCCGCCCACGCTCCAGGGCCAGCATTCAACTTTGGCCTATGGACCTCCAAGGCCCACCCCAACCGGACCACGGAGCGCACGCGGCGAGACCGCAGCCTCCCCTCCAGGATCCCGATTCTCCCGCCACCGGTGGCCTTCCCTGTCCCAACCCCGACTCCCTGAGGGCTGGAAGATTCGGGTTGGCCGCCGGGCACGACGACTTGACTTTAAGGGTCCGGAACTAGGGGCGGGGGCGGGCGCTCTGCCTGGGTGCAAACTCTAGTCCTGGTCCCGCGCTCCTCCTGGGGGCTGCCCCAGCCTGGCGCTCAGGTGAGTGAGATTCCTGGCTTGGGGGAGGATCAAGCAGGCAGAGAGGCCGCCTAAATGCGCTAGGCCCACGCAGAAGGTCCTTGGGAGTTTAGGGAGTGTCAGGGACACTGCCCAGGAGAGAGGATGCGCCTTGAGCAGGACCTGGAAGGTGAGCAGACGAAGGAAGGAGAACGTTTTCAGCGGCGCCAGCGCGCACCTATGGCCTGGCTGGGGTGCTGAGGTTGGGCTAGACCTTCTGTGCTCTCTGCCGCGTGCACCCCTCTACTCTTCCCTGGGAAGGACCGTGGCCACTCCCCACAACCCCACTGCCCCAGTGTCTAAAGACCAGGCTGCTGACCTGGTCCTTCCCCTGACTCCCCCCAGTGGTGGCTGGAGGACGTTGTCTCAACCTGACTCTAACCCAGAGAGCTCAGCACTTGGTCTCCAACAGCACCACCATAAACGCTGCATTTGCTGACCACATGGCTGATCATGACCACCTGCCCTGTACCCACCCAGGCTTCCGGTCAGGAGAGAGACAGGGAAGAGCTGCCCCCTCCCTGCGTCCACCATCACTCCTGGTCTGGGATCAGGGCAAGTTATAAAGGTGGCCAGAGACCCCCTTTCTCCCTGTCCCTCTCCAGGAGGACACTCTGGGGACCACCCACCCTCATCCCTCCCCCACAGGAAGGGGATTGGAGAGGCTGTCCTGGCCTCTTCCCCCATCCTGTCTCATCCAAGACCCTGAGCCTGGGGGGTTGGGCTCCCTTCAGCAGACCAAGGGCTTCTGGGAGGAGGCCACCCGCCATGTCAGCGGATTGATTAAAGTCATTGTGAGGATTTTTTTAACATTTAATTTACCAGGCACGCCAACGCTGGTCAGAGCTGTCCCCGGGGAAATCTAGACCAAGGGAGCAAAACAGAAAAAACCTCCTAGCATTCAGCAGAGCCCCTCTGATGGGATTAATTGCCGGAACTCGGCTTCCAATCAGACCACAGGCAGTAATGTTTCAGGGAGGGAGGAGGACATGAGGCTTCAGTGGTCAGATTCCTTCCCTGGGTGCTTAGAGCCCAGGGCCCTCCACATCGCCATCTCTCCCCAACCTGCTGGTGCTGGTGAGGAGCCCCCCCCCGCACCTCTCCGCACCTTCATGTCTCCATGCATGATGAGGTAGAGGGTACCCTCCAGAGCACAGACCACCCCCATCCACATCCCTTCAGCCTGCAGGGAGAGAGCTGGGAGCCATCCCAGACACGCTCCCATGGAAACTGAGAACCTGGCAGAGGTGTCTGTAGTAGTGGAAAACAGAAAGGTAGGAATGGCCACTCCGTACTTCATCCTTGGTGACAGTCGATGGATGGCAGGTGGACCTGGGACAGGGACAGGCACAGCTGTGGGTCACCCCCCATCTAGGCACCAAGGAAGGAGAGCTAAGCAGATTCCTGGCACAATTAGTGCCTGAAGAATATTTTAGTTTATAGTGTTACTACTCAGTTATTTCCTTTTATATTATCCTTTATATATAATCATGTTACTTTATAGAATGAGTGTCTGAAGAATATACTACTAATCTGTTATTTCCATATATATATATATATAATTATATTTTACTTCATAGTCGGAGGAATGCCTGGAGCAGACAGTACAGAGCATGAATTAAGGAATAAGCAGCTTATAGTCAGAGGAACGCCTAGAGCAGACACGGTACAGAGCATGATTTAGGGAAAAGGCAGTTATACCAGGACAGGAATCCATGGCCCAGGCGGCAGCGTTCAGTGTCGTGAATATACCCACTGTGTGGCAGGCTTGGGGCGAGAGCCACTCCTGATAAAGGAGTTGTAGGACCCTGCTCCAGTTCTTGTGGAAGGCCGCCCTCAGACCGGCAATCCCACGAGCCTCCGAGGGTTCGAAACCCTTCCGGTATAATCTCACCTTGGTGACTGAACTTTATCAGCTCTTGTTGCTGTGCTGGGGCAAAAGCCTCCTCCTGCAGAACTCACTGGAAGCTGCCAGCAGGTGGCTGTGGACCGGGTCAGCTCTGCTGCTGTCTCAAGGGCATCCGCCTATAGAATTCCTTGGAAGTACCCTGCCCTAGACAAGAGATACTACACACTACACTCTCCGCTGCGCACGGCCCACCTCCATGCCTCGGGGACCTAATGGGGGTGGACCCCTTGTTCATTGCTCACAACCCTACGACTATCCTTAAAGATGACCTCACTCACTACCCTGCCCCCTAACCTATACCCGATAAATACAGATGCCTCCGGACGTTCGGGCCTCGCCTATCTGTGCTTATAGGTGGCGTGGCCCCCTGCACCCAGCTGCACTTTCCTTGGCCGGGTCCTGTCTCTTTATTTCTTGCATCCTGTGCCTCAGCACAGCGATAGGGGACACCCCAGGACCCTGTAGGGCTGTGGCCCCACAACAGCACTGTGCGACACAGCCCCGTTCGCCTTTGCAGAGAAGGTTTACGCCTGTGAGGGCCAGGGCCTTTCCTGGGACAGACTGGAGAAACAGGTAACAATTGTTCTCTCCGGAGAGAGTGTGGGGGTGGAGCTAGGGAGAGGCTTCACTTCCACTCTACACCCCTCTGCGTGGTTTTTACTTCTGTGGGTTTTGTAACCACCCTGTTTAGCATTTAGTAAAGAGGTATGGAAGGGTTGCAGGGCCTAAACTGTCCACAGTACAATGCTCCGAGACCCATGGCCCTAGGAACACACAGGAACATCAGACAGACCCTCATCCTCGCCAAGAGTTGGGGGGATGGGAAAAAGCCCTTCCCCACCTCAAGGAGGCCTCAGGACGCTCCTCACGCTTTCCCAAGCTTGACCAGCTCACTGGGCTCCCTGCCTACCCAGCCCTCCTGGAGGCCATGACCATGTCTGGGTACAGGAGATAGGGTGCCTCAGGAGGGCAGCCACAAGGGAGGCCAACCCGGCTCAGGGCCGGGCCTCCTGGTCAAGCAAGGCCCCTCCTCCCCAGCACCAAAGGCCGTCACTGCAGCAGTTCTTCGGAGGGCGTGGGTGGCCGGCTGTGAGGTTTAGCCAGCACCGCATGTTCTCCGGACCAGGCTCTGTCTTACCCGCTTGGTAATATCCACTCAGATAATCTGCACAACAGTGCTAGGCACGGGTATTGTATGATTGCCGTTTTACAGACGAGGAAATGAGGTCCAGAGTGGGGAGGTCAGTCTCCGGGTTTCACCCCAGGAGTCTGTGCTCCTAAGCCCTTCTTTATAGCCTCCTCCTCCCTTCCCCCAGAGCCTGGCCTCAGGAGTGCGGCTGCTGAGCAAGGGATCCAGCCCTGGCCTTGGAACCAGGAGGGCCCAGGATCGAGGGCCGGTCAGCTCTGAACCAAGCTGTGGGAGGCCAGCCAGGATCCCACGGAGGACCCTGTGCTAAAGGCTTGTTGAACAGGGAGAGACTATGGACGCTCACTGGTCCCTGGGTGACGGCTCTGAAGACGTCACCCTGTGCCAGAGGAACCCCAGGTCCAGCACAGAGGACAGCCTGGGACACCTGGCTTCAGCACCTTGGTCAGCACCAGGAGGGGGCTTCAGCAGGCAAGGGCAGCTGGGGAGGGGAGATGAGGGAGTGTCCTGGGGCCTCAAGCAGTCCATTAGTCATTCGCTCATTCACCCATTCAATTCAGTCATCCTAGAGTTGTCCTTGACTCCTGCTTGCCCCCACCTCCCATGCATCAGATCTCCTGTCCCCACCACCCTAATGAAATGTCAGCCCCTGGAGGGGATTCTGCAATGCCATGCCCGCTTCAGCACAGCTCCAGGTGAGCCTTTAAGAAGGTGGTGGGCTGCTTTCACTTCCCAGCCCTGGCTGACCCCTCTCCCGCGGCTCTGCCCCCGACACGTTCTGCTCCAGCGCCAAGGGCCTCCTCACTGTTTCCAACGTGCAGCCACCCTGACTTGAGTGTTTGCCCCACTGTTCCACTGCCTGGGGGGGTCTTCCCCCAGACTTCCACATGCCTGCCTTTCTCTAGGCCCTTCCTTTTCCTTTTTTGAAATAGGGTCTTGCTCTGTCCCAGGCTGAAGTGCAGTGGCACAATCACAGCTCACTGCAGCCTCGACCTCCCAGTCCAAACCGATCCTCCCACCTCAGCCTTCTGAGTAGCTGGGACCACAGGCACGTGCCACTACACTCAGATAACTTTTTAAAATTTTTTGTAGAGACCAGGTTTCTCTA